CCAGATCCTTCACCATTTTGGTTATCCTCCTCTGGAAAGCTCCAGCTTCTGAACATCCTTCTTGAACTGTAATGCTCAAAACTGAACACGGTATTCCGTGAGGCCTGACCAAATAGGAGTACAGTGACACTATTACATCCCTTGATCTAGAAATTATACTTCTATTGATGCAGCCTAGAATCGCATTGGCCTTTTTGGCTGCTGCATCACACTACTGACTCATGTTCAACTTGTGATCTACTAGGACTCCTAGATCCCTTTCCCACGTAGTCTTGTTAAGCCAGGTGTTCCCCATCCTAGTATCTATGCATTTCATTTTTACTCCTGAAGTGTAGGACCTTACATTTCTCCCTGTTGAACTTCATTTTGTTAGTTTTGGCCCAGCTCTCTTATCTATTAAGGTCATCTGAATTTTGCTCCTCTCCTCTGGGGTATCCTACCTTTTTCTCAAAATGATATCCAAGGTGGCTAACAATAGTTTTTAAAAAATAAAACAACAGCAATAGCTAAAACACTGATTAGAAAAGTTAAAAGAGAATTTAAAAACATGGTTCAAAACACTTAAAACCTATTTACAAGATACATTTCATTTAAAGATTAAAGGTTTTAATCTTTGCACACCACTTTACGGACACTACAAATCCATAATTCAAATTCAAAAGGCCTGCCTAAATAAGAGCATAAGAAATTGAGGTACAATTTGGACCAGTCCAAACTTTGGTCCTCCAGATGTTTGGGACTTCAGCCCCCAGAATTCCTGGTTCATGGCCAAGCTGGCTGGATCTTCTGGGAGTTAAAGGGAAATACATCTGGAGGACCCAAACTTTGGGAATCACTGGACTAGTGTGAAGCTTGTTTGGGGGACCACATTCCTAATACTTTGTCAGACTTGCCAGAGGGATCACGCATTACTAAACACAGCACAAAAAAGCTGACTTTTTTGATGGGAGTTTGCTATTAAAAATCTCCAAGATTGTCTTTGAACTCCCCAGTCTTGGTGATGCAGGATGTGTTCATTTTGGACTGCAGGGATACAACATTTTATTGGTTATGTTTGACTGAATTGTGCAAACAAGGAACTGGGAAAAAGTTCAGTGCTCTCAGCAGAACAGCTGTGATGAAAAGGAACAAAAAGCAGAGAGGAAAATTTCAGACCCCGAAGACAGAAGAGGTGGCTTTGTACAAATGCAAAGAGATGCCCACAAAAGGGAAACAGGTGGAAAAAATAGACAGATTGCAACTTCAGAGGTTATCACATGAGCTCCATTCTCATGGGAGCATGCTAGTAAAGGGAACCAGATACATACCAGTTTGAGAGCATTCTGACTTGCATGTGTTTGCAATAGCGTGCTTGTTGGGGTTTGTTTTATTGTATAATTAATGCAATACCAGAGGTATGCTAATAAAAAGAAACTAAAAGAAAGGAGGGGAAGGGGGAAAAAAAGCCTGCTGGAGAATAGGGCAAGGAGGGAGATGCTGGTCCAAAACACACTGCAGAAATAATCCAGTTTGAGACTGCTTTAATTGCCCTGGTTCAGTGCTAGCGAATCCTGGGAACTGTAGTTTTTACCGTGGCACCAGAGCCCTCTGACAGAGAAGGCTAAATGTCTCACAAAACTATTCCCTCGCATTGAGCCAAAGTACTTAAAGCGGTCTCAAACTGGATTATTTCTGCAGTGTGTTTTGGACCGCTGACATCATGTAAACTGCCGAAGTGCAGCACAAGGACTAATGCTACAGCAGGGTATTTGGGAGCTTGCTGATGGGTTTTATAAAACAATACTCCAACCGTTCTTGTAGGCCAAGGCAGCAATGGAGATGGAGCTGCATGAGAAATACTGCCAAAGGTGCCATATTCCAATTTTATGGCAGTTTAAAAGTCACATTGCATAAGTCCTTAAACCAAGATGCTCCCTCCCCCCAGCTCAAAATGGCCTTTTTCCATGGTTATGGCATGGTCCTTTCTACTGTTACAAGCAAAGAACAATTGAGATTAGGAATAGAAAGATGTCACACTATCTATAGAAATATTTTAATATATATATTTGAAAAAAAATATTTCTATAGAGTGTGGCATCTTACTACTCCTGACCTCAGTTGTTCTCTCTCTCTCTCTCTCTCTCTCTCTATATATATATATATATATACATACACATATATACATACACACACACTATTTATAAATACAGTTTTTATTTATAAATTTGTAAATAAAGTTTATACACACTCACGTATACATAGAGAGAGATGGACTATGGCATGGGAGACCAGGTTTTGAATCCCCACTCAGCCATTTAAGGCCAGAAGAGTCCTGTTTTGAAATATATATATATATATATATATATATATATATTAGAATCAGAGTTTAATAGAAGGAAAAAGGAAGTATCTGAAAGGTTTAAGTTATAAATGGTTGAATATTTCAAGTAAAGGAGGGAAGTCATTTTATGTGTAGTAGTTAGAAGTTAGAAGTAGGATGTTTTTGTAAATGTTATGTTATTGTGCTGTGTTATGTGTGTATTATTTGTTGTTGAGTTTGTATTGAATTGTGTTATTTTATAAATAAAATCTAAAAAAAAAGAATCAGAGTTGAGGAGACCACAAGGCCCATGCAGTCCAACCCCCTGCCATGCAGGAACTCACAACCAAATTACACCATGCAATAAATCAAATCACTGAAACAAATACATAGAATATACAATAAAAAAGACCAAAACCCTGTGGGTAGAGCTCAGTCTCTTGATACACAAAAGTCTTTTTGAAGGCAAATAATTTGAGATGCACACAATCTCAAATGGTGCAAGGGTCCTTCAGAAGACAAATGACTGTAGTACTCAACTTGATAGGGAAGAATAAAATCAGCTGACTTCTGTCAGTGGCAGTTCACCACTATTTCCAGCCTACAGAGTTTGGAAAAGTTACTGCATTGGACTACAACTCTCAGATCAGCAAGGTGACATGCTGGGGATTCTGGCAGTTATAGTCAACTTTCTTTTCAAGCTTTTTCCCTTTGGTCTATTTCCTTGCTCATTCCTCCCCATGAAATGCAAGTTCCTGATCCAACAGGAAGATTCATCTTATCCTGGCCTCAACCTTCCTACTAAAGGTGTGTAATTCTAAATTCCTTATGTTTGGCTCCCACTGCAGCATCTATAAAGTTAGGGCATGCAAGTTAGCATTATAATTTTATAACCAGAGGCACTATTCAAAACAAAATCAGTGTTTTCCCTTTGTTTGTTCTTGGCTGCCCCTACCCAGTCCATTTCCTGGAAATTGCAGCAAGGCCATATTTACTTGGCGGTGCATCAGATCACCTGCTAAACCAAGCCTCTGCAATGAGGCCAAACTGACCTCCCAACATTTCCTCTGGTTTCTAAGAGAGATTTAAGAGGAAAAAATAAGGAAGGGGAAGAAGGAAGAATGCACTGACTAATGCAGATGTGAGCATCCAGTAACATCTGCCAGAGGCAGGGTGGTGTAGTGGTTTGAGTGTTGGGACTATGACTCTAGGAGACCAGGGTTCAAATCCCCGCTCAGCCATGGAAACCCATTAGGTGACCTTGGGAAAGTCACACTCTCTCAGCCTGAGCATGGCCATGGCAAACCCCCTCTGCGATAGGTTTGCTTTAGGGTTGCCGTAAGTCAGACATGGCTTGAAGGGAAAAGCACCACACACAAACACACATACTTACTTCTGTAGCTGCAGTTTCGCCAACACTAATAATCTGAGGCTGCATCTGCACCGCAGAAATAATCCAGTTTTGACACCATTTTCACTGCCAAGGGTCAATGCTGTAGAATTCTGGAATCTGTAGTTTTGTGAGACATTTCAGTTTCTCTGTCAAAGAGCACTGGTGCCATAACAGACTACAATTCCCAGAACTCTGTAATAGCATTGAGCCATGGCAGTGCAGATACAACCCAAGCCTCCAAGACCTGAGCAGGATGGTTGATGACAGGGATGATTTAGAGCAGGGGTAGGCAACCTAAGGCCCGGGGGGGGGGGG